CTTATACAAAATTTTATTAAAATAAAACCATTTAAACTGGGTGTTCGGATTTATATGTCACTTAGTATAGTTTTGTTAATATGATGTCCAAACAATATATTTCAATGTCTTACAAGAGAAAAAAAATTGTAACCTTAAAAAAATAAACAAACTAAGATAAAATTAGATAATGTCCTAACTATTTTGTGTAATGGCTTGTATTATTAAGAGGCTTCTGATCCCAGTGGAAGCGACGAATAATGTGCTCACGATTTGAAAAAATCGGTACCTGCGTTATAGGTTTCAGACCGAGAGCCAACAAACCTGCAACTACCAACAGTAGGGAAGTATAAATTCGGATATTTATAATGATGATTAGGGCTAGATCGCCAATTCAAATCCGACTCTGTTATTGCAGAAATTTACCACGATACGCGCTCGCAGTTATCCTTTCCACTTTTTAGAGTAGCACCGACGACCGTCTTAGACCAGCCCACTGACTTTCCTCTTCAACCCTCTCCCGCCTAACCTCAGGAGATGGTCCTCGTGATCGTGGGAGCCGCGCTAAGCCCAAAATAGCACCTTCAAACGAGTATATCTGTCAGTGGCATGGTTATTATTTTCCTGTGAAGAATTGTGTTACGAGGTTTTTGCAATGACCGGTTCATTTAATCTAGATTAACTGATGATTTCATGCATTGTGGGACTTACTTCCGTTGAAGTAAGCCTAGAAAATTCATCGTACGACTTTTATGAAAAGAACAAGTTTCCAGATCTCCTGGTATGAAAACTCACGATAGTCACCGTTTTCCACTTTTGAGCCCTTTATATTCATTATTTCGTTATAAACAGGTCTACGAACAATGTAACTTTATTTATTTCCATGTTTTCCTTCTGGCCACTAAATCAAATAGATTTCGATTGCTAAAAGTAAAAAATAAAGAATGGAATTAAACTGACATTAACTTCTACTACAGAGCCATATGATAGATCGCAAAATCAGACGATAAGGAAGGCATCATCAGGCGTATCTATGTATATGTCAGATATTGGAAAATCTGCAATAAACAAGTTGGTATCTAAATTTGCTCGTAAATATCGTTTATGTATTAATAATCTACGAATGAAGCTTCTGTTTTAATGAAACATAACGTGTTATCTAGGATATGACTAAAAAGGAGTTGTGTGTACTAATTACAATTGGGTGCATGAACATATTTGGGAAAATACTGTAACTCCGACCACTTCCAGATACAGAAACCTATAACTTAAATTGTTTATAACAGGCTTAAAAATGCTCCTTCCTACAACACTCTTTGAACTTGTGTACAAGCCCACCCCCATTACCAAAAAGACTCCTCTCCGTCATTGCATTACAGACGATTTGATTACTGCGCAGTGAAGATAATGACTTGTTGCCATAGTAACGTATGTCCTAAACATTTTGGCACAAAATTCGTTGGCTTCAATTTTAACAAACACAAAATAATAACAAGTTGCCTTCGAAAATAAAAATTTATTTACTTACTTTACTGTCAGTTGATATTTATTTATTTCGATGTTTTCGCTTTAAGATGTATAAATTAGAAATGAGAGAAGTGTCTACAAGTTGGTTGGCCGGATACATTTCACACAGAACCATTTATCGGACAATAGCCGAGTGCGAGTAGTGCATGTATGAATCTCCCAAAAAGTGGAAGACTACGTGCATTTACTGCACAGAGGTCGGAGCAGCAACAACAGAACAGCAAAAAATCAGATTTCACATAAAGCGTAATTTGCTGATAAAATCCTTGTCTTGAGAGCATTCGAAGAAAGCTGCGTCTGGTAGAGCAGAATGGACCACTCCACATAATTCGATAGTATAGTTTACTTAAGTATCGAGATGTAATTTAGCTAGCTGGATAGTTAGCATTTAAATAAAAAAAAAACCGATAAATACTTTGTGCGAAACCTTTTAGGATATACATTTGTCTAAGAAATATAGCAAAAGCGTTGGGAGAAATTGTAAGTGGAAAAATAGATTACCTGGATAACAGATGCTCAATGTTGATGTCTTTGCCAGTATGAACTTTACGAATATCTTATCTATTCATGCATTACACTTGCTACAGTATTGCACTTACATGCAATAGATTGAAGATATTTTTCGGTACTTCTTTTTCTCATTGTTGTGAAATCTTTATCTGCGTTATCGCGACAATAAAAACGAAGCTGAAAGACCGGATTCAGTGCTCGCATGATCGGAAAAATATCATAAAATTATTGATGCTTTGCGTAGCACTTTGAATTGTAGCGTCAAATTTACGCGACGGTTCCCCTGCAACTTTTTATTCGATCGCGATTCTTTACCGCAATGAAATTAGAAAGCACGTGCTATAAGAAGTGATGAAACAAAGTGACCCGCTAATTATGTTGAGAAGTAACTATAATACGTCTGTATCTGTACATCTTGATTAGAACCATCTTAACGTCGTCATTTTGTATTTTTTAAGGTACATGCTTGTGAACACAGCTTATTCGGCTTGCCAACTCTATTATACTCTATTAACATTAGCAATTAAGAAAAATACGTCACCAGCGCATTTGGCTTTTGTAAAAAATAAATAAGCACTTACCGTAACATATCTTATTTTTCGTTTCTTATCCTGTTGCTTCATCTGAATCCCTCTGATCGTTAGGACGTACACATGCAAAAAGGAACCAACCCTCAGCATTCACATGTATGTATGTATGTTACATTATTTTTAACGGTTGTACTTTTATACTGCCTATTTACGAGAAAATAAAATGATACAAAATGCTTGCATTACTTCATTTATACCGGATGAATCATCTATTTAAACAGCTTGTAAATCTCTGTAAAAGAAGTTGATAAAAGAAAAATCACCTATACAAAAGATGCATAACAAGAGAGTTAGTTTACATTATTGAAAGTTGTTTAAAAAAATCATTATCAAGTTAAATGGATACCGTTTTTACAAAAATTGTCCGAAATTGTTCCCATTTGTTCGAAGCGTCAAAAATAAAATCCTGGTAACCACGATTTAGAGCTCAGGCGTCTTCAGTGCGCTACTGAACTCTTTCAAATAGCTATGCGTTAAATCCGGGGAGAGAGCAGGCCAAGAAACTCTTGTCGGAAAAGAATTATTTAGATGTTCATGAACTTCTCATCCAAAATTTGGTGGAGCACCATCATGTAGGAGCCACATATTCGGTCTCACATTTAGAGGAACATCTAATAATTGTGGCATATTGTTGTGGAAATTGTGCACTCCAGCCTCGTCTGTACACAAAAAACTAATTTCGTAAAATCATCAATTCTGTCGAACTGTCCTAAAAGCCACTGGCAAAATGCAACTCTTCTAGGATGATCTTCAGGTTGTAAAGCTTGTACCCGTTGATAATGATAAGAATAATACTATTATTGTCTTCCACACTTTACTATGAGAAACTTCCACTTGAGCTGCTGTGGTTCTAGTACTCATTGCTTTTTCATTTTCGACAATTTATAAAATGGTCAAGAAGTCTGAAAATGTATTTACAAACATTCGTGGGGCCGGATGATTTCTTAAAGGAAACCTTTCCGCATACAACCTGGATGCTGCGGCTACATTTTGTTGGCATTCTCCGTATGTTAGTATTATGCCCCCTAGGGCTAAGAAGTACTTTTCTCAGCACGACCTTCTCATTCTGTAAAAGGTCCAGATAAGGCCTAGCCTCGAGTATTGCTCACACGTTTAGGGTGCTGCCGCCCCGACTACATTATCCATGCTCGATGCTGTCCAGAGGAGGGTGGTCCGACTGATCGACGACTTGGGACTCTTTCGCACCGGCGGGCCGTCGGCGATCTAGTTCTTTTCTACCTATATATCAACGGGCTTTGCTCCTCAGAGCTCTCTTCCGTGATGCCGGCGCGCGATACGCCTACCAGACAGACCCGCCTGACTTTGGCGTCCCATCCTAACCGTGTCGAACTTTGTACATCCAGAACTGGCCAATACGACCGCTCCTTTATCCCGAGGGTGTCGAGATTGTGGAACAATCTACAAGAGGAAGCTTATCCCAGTTCTACTAACCTTAGGCAGTTCAAAAATCGTATTAACAAAATTTCTTTGGGATCATGATAGCAGCCGCGGGGTTCCGGCATTTAGGCTTCTGCCTGCGCGGATGCTTCGGTATATATATAAAAAAAACCTAGCTCATTGTTTCCGTAAGCATTGGCCACTTTTTCGCACAAAATAATCAGAAAAATGAAAGTATACGCACTATTAAAAGACGGATACAACTGATCAGACTAAAGACCCGTACTGAAAACCATACAATGACACAAAAAGCTTGCCAAATTTAGATAAACGATAACAGTAGTAAACAAAAAACGCTAAGATTTTACACGGCAGTGGTCTAGAATATCAAAAAATTTGTGTAATAACATTATTTTTGAAAATTTTCAATCTTTTACAATTTTTTTTACTATGCAACTTTTATATAGGTAATTTTTGGTATATCAACTACTTTTGACGAGTCCTACAAGCAGTTAGAATAAATGACTCAACTTTGAAAACACCATGTATAACGCCCAGTTTGTCAGATGAGAGAGAACGAGGGAGGGAATATAACTGATTATAAAATATTATTAACTGATTACTGTAGGGTGCATCTTGGTCAAGATTTGGCGCATTTTTATAAGGAGACCTATCAAACACATTATGTCCTGATTTTCAAAACATCATTGTTGTGAAAATTACTAGAGCTGCTAGTAAATATCGGCTACATTTACAGTCACTGAAACCACACTTGACGCTGCCTGAACGCTGTCAAGATAGAACAGCTACGTGACCAATAGTTGATAGGTTTGGTGTTATAAAATGAAGTTTTATGACGATCAACACCGATTTGGAAATTTCTACCTGTCAATCTCAGATTATTCGAGCATTCTAACTGACCACATCTGCGCCATTTGGAGGGGAGATATCAAATAAAAGGAGAATAGTTATTTGCCATATAATAATATATTTTAACAGCAACTACAATACAAAATTTACACACTATATAATAACTTTAATATAGTAATATGAATATAATACATATGGGGGATTTACAAATGCTTGGGACTTATAGTACATCAAGGTAATGCAAAAATATTGCTAACTTTCTAATCTCTTAAAAAGTCGTTCGCCAGAATAAAAGTTAACAATGCGACAAAAAAACACAAAAGAACCATGTCCAAATTTCGTTTAACACGAGCAACGCCAGATTTGGACAATGCCCTTCCTCTCTCGGCACAAAAGTCACGTATGTTCTCTAAGTGATTAACAAGATTTTTTTAGTGAAAACACCCGAGACTTTTCTGCCAGCCCTCGTATCGTGAGAGTTCGAATTGACACGTTCTAAAATTCACAAATTGAACGAAAAAATTCCAACTCTCTCCGACTTTCATCGATAATTATTGCAAAAATTTAAACTGATTGCGTAAATAGTACATCCAATAACAAAAACAATTTTTACATGAGCAATTTTTTATACAAGTTTATGTACAAGGATTCGGCGAATCACTATCCCGGAACTCAGTCGAACCAAAGAGATGCACCCTATGTAATCTCTAGTATCGAATGTCTGCCAAGTGAGGTTATTCTGAATCTTAGGTGATTGTACTGCGGTCTTACGAGGTTTTTCAAAAATTGAGATCCAACCCAATGTCACTTTCATATAGACTACTATAGTCCAATCTAAGTGGTTGTCTCAAAGAGCAGATCCATGTGAAGACTGTGATATGTCAAGCGATGTAAGAGCTAAAGATAAATCGTTGGGTAAAGCCAAAGCTGCATTCTTCATTCTACTCAGCTTTGGACAAATGTTTCACCCTGAGTTGGGGGTCATCGGCATACAGTGAAAAATGTAGCGTATTCTCGTTTTTTAGACCAGCATTCAATACTTTCCATGGTTGCCTTCCTAGAGCAACATTGAGTCTATATACATGTTTCTTTGACAAATCACAGCAAAGCATGATCTAGTTTTGATCCCAATAGAGTAGATAAAACTAAGTGCTAAGTCAGTCAGCGGTTCGGTATTTCAGTGTTTTTCCGAGACAGTGTCGCATAAACAATATTTCAATTTGGGTACAAAAATACACCGAATATTATGTTAGATTCTACTATATATATGTACCAGGCAGGCCTCCATAATAAAATTTTAAAATTCGAAAACTCTTATAGTTACGGACAGTCCAATCTAACATTAAATATTGTCCATTGGGACGACCATAGCTTGGAGACCAAGTAGCACAGAACTGCGAATAAGGCTCATATCTTGTCTAAGATATATCATCACAAAATAGTCCAAAAGAAAATAATAAAACAAGACAATGATTCTTTTCATTCTTAAAATAATTCTATGCATACATTACAACTAGTTTTAACAAAAACAAAAATCGCAACTTCTTCGATATTAGATACTATATTTTAGACAAAAATAGCTGCATTTTCAAGGTATTACAGGTAATGCGATTGAACTTTTAGATTTATGTTTATGATATGTCAGTCACCTTTTTTAAATAGCAGTTAGTATTCCATTTGTAAAGTGACTGGCACCTATAAAACATTAATTGAGGTTAGTTATGGAACAATTGACAAACATCTCCATGGTAAACTATAATCGTCTCAAGCTGATATTACAGGAGTAATTCTATTACATTGAAAGCACACGGTTACGTTTAAAGTTTGAACGTCTTTCAAATATATTTATTATAAGAATATCGATGTTTGCTCGCGCTAGTCTATGTATTTATAATTCCAAAAACGTTTAATACTATGCTTTATTACCTATTTTTAAGTTTGTGCATTGACATTGAATGTATTTGTTGTATGTTTTCCCTGTGTACAGGACTTGTGTGCTCAACAGTACCAAAAGCTTCAATCGAACCAATTTATGTCAAAAAATGTATACGAAAAGTCTAAAACACATTACTTCTTAAGACTGCTAGATTAGCTTGCAATAATGGAAGTAAGGTCAACAATGCTTAATCAAAATGGGTATATTTTCAAATCATAACAAATTTTAAGTTTTACGTAAGATCCTGTTAAATGAAATTTTATTAAGTACTCGCGAGAGAGCCTTTGGTACTTCTGTGCAAATAACCCTTATACCGCTGTGGCTCATGTCTGAAAAAAAATAACTCCGATTTAAAAATCTTTCATTTAAGAGACATTGCTATCATTTTGTATCAAAACACTTTTAAAAATATGAACAAAACTACAACATGAAACAGTAGGATTTTACCATACAGTATGACAGTAATGTAACTTTTGAAAATGAACAGTGAGGCATGAGGTGCCGATCGGTGTCATTTTTTCTTGACTTGATATGAACTGAAATCAAGGTAAGCGTATAAAGACGGGATGTAAAAACATGACTTGAGCCATTCCAAGCCGTTTGTCTTCAAAAGCATGTTTCTTCCGTTTAGAGCTAACATATGCTTTCAAAACACTCAATGTTGGAAAACTGACGATAAAGTAGTTATTGTATTTTTGATCCTCGTATTGTGGTAAAACATAGAAACGATATTATTTACAAAAGATAGTTGTAAGTGCTAGGAGCCAAATAAAGATACAGTATCAGAAAGTAATTTGTTTTAATTCAAGAACAAAATTAATACAATTCAACTGACAGACTAATTATGAGTAGCTGTATGAATGATTCCACTTTTAGATGAATTACGTTTTGTCAATAGACATGAAATTACTCTCTAACTGACCCACGTTACTGAACCAAATATCCGACATGACTGTAGCACAAACAATCCTAACCTATTTTGGATATCTTACCGTTAATATCGACTTTCTACAATTCTATCCACATACACGCTGTGTAGTGCTTTACAAATCTTACAGTTCCATCCTTAGTCGATTCTTTTAAGTACAAATTCTGGACGAACGAATAAAAAATGTGTTAATAAAATATATGAAGAACCTAACCAGTTACAAACTAAGCTTTAGGACGCCAACGCTCGGTTCTGATACGAAAACTATGGTCTCAAGAACAAACCAGGTTAATTGAAAGTAAATACTGCTTAAAGTCACAGACAAATTTGAACTCCAGGTTCTCAAGCTTTAGTGCTTCCAACAAAATTTTAGGAATTGAAACCATAGTTCCTTCACAATTCTACAAATCACTACAGTAATGGACATCCAGGATTGTCAATCAAAAGTGAGGGATTTCTAACGATGTACTCTGATGAAACACGATGGTGTTATTTATAGAGGCTACAAAGGAACAGATAGAAACAAGCAATTTTTTGTGTGTTGCCCAGTACTGTAGACTGATATAGACGAGTCAATTGGACAGATCAATAAAAGACAAGTTTTTTTATTTAAATTATAAAAATATATGGTGGCGAATCACGGCTAAATGCACCCGGATTTACAAGGAGGTAAAAGCAGAGCAGAACTGTTTTTATAACTATACGGACTTTTTGACAACTAAAGTATTGGTCATCAAACAGAGATGAAATCACAGCCTGGTTTTGTGTTTCCTGTCGACTTTACATACACACTTAGAATTGTCAACAGTGTTTTACAAAGATAAAATTGTGACCGGGTCATGTCCCGGATCCGACAATACTAAATGAGCTCTAGGCACTATTTTAATTTCCAATCATTTTAGAAGAAAATATATACGTAGCTGCAAGAGCAATGGATTGTATTGAAGATTGGCCAAATCATTACCACTCTAATACTAATTACATTTATACCACTAAATTTTTAAATTTTCAAGTTTTTAGCAACAATTTCTGAGGTAATTGACTTTTTGACATATTGAAGTAACCTCACAAACGTACAGAGTTTAAGCTGGATAGTAACAATCGCTCTTTGATACAACTCACTAGGCTGGAGTAATTGTTTTCATTTTTCACAAGAAGTAAAGGAGACAATTAGCTTGGACATGTTAACTATTGTAGCTTTAGAAAAACATTTCATCTAGACCACACACTTTATTGATGTGCTCATAACAGTTTTTGCGTCAACCGCTTGGCATCGCTATAAGTATATGTTATTTGAAATAAATTCTGTTGTGTTTCAGACCATCTGTAGACCCTCCTCCATACGATATACATTCTTCAAGAATGATATTTCATCTAAAATGACTGCATATTTTCACATTAACTGGTAGATTCCTTGGACAATGCATTTGCATCGTTATATTCAATGATAAATACAAAAATAAACGCAAAATGAGATCATTATCGGGGTTAAAATTATATTAATTATAAAAAAACACCAGTTACGATGTCGATGCAGCTTTAGCTGAATGCGTGGTCGCCACAAATAACAAAAAATTGGAGATTGAGCTTTAGATAAGAGAATCCGTGAATTTTTGGTTACTAGACCGCTAAAGAGCGACCATACACTTACATAAAGATGATTATGTGGAAATAAAAGTAATGCAGTGCCATTAGATTATTTTATATTTGAGCAACAAATATTGAAGTTCAGCATGCCCAGATACAAGTAAACTTTAAATATTTTGTTGTAAAATCGAATGAAAAACTAACGGAATAACTATATAATAATTCTTGTTTCAATAGCTCTACATGAGAAATACAATACTTAAAACATACAAACGTTTTCGAAAAATTATCAGTAACTGTCAGTTTTCTGATACTTACACATGCGATATTTGAAAGCTAAGCAGCAGTATATATGTAAATTTATCATCAAAATATTAATATTAACGTACTTACTGTCTTTCTTATAATTCGGATCTAGTTCGCAAAATATTACAAGTGTATGGACCTCCTTAACCGCCCAAATCTTAAAAATCGCAAAATACAGAACTCATTTTCCATCTTTTTCTTACCGCTGCGTCAACACGCTTGAGCGTAAAACCAATCAGGGCTTCGCACTTCTCGATCTGCATCGACTCAAAGTCTTTGATTGTGCCGATACACATTTGAATGTCATCCGAAAACAGTCTTACAGTCTCTTTCAACACATCATGAACTCCTCATTGTGAATATCGTTCCAGGTGTTCGAGAACATCGGGATATTCTGTGGAACTGAGAAGTCGAGGTGTGATCCGGAGCTATTTGAAGCCGTGTCGAAATTCGTATCTATGTCTGCTAATTCCTCCAGGTTGATTCCTTCCATAGGTAAAAGGTCCTCTATACCGTCTAGTTCGTCTAACGTTGTCGTATGTTGCGTGAGCCTATCTTCAGGTTCTTCCTTCACCAGGCGCTGGTTGACCCAAGTGTCATCATAGATTGTGGCACTTTCTGGTGAGTCCGGAGTCTCGCACGAAGGGCTGGAAGGTACCTTTGCGATAAAACTAATGGGTGGTAATTGCATTTGTACCGCTGGTACTGGTTCTACCCTTGGTTCTACCCTGGACGTTTCACTTTGCGTCAGCCTGAACTTCAGCTTTGAGGCTACCGTTTCTGGGACCGTAGTGCGCCTGCTATAGATTTTATCTTTACTAGAATTGTTATTGTTGTCGTTTTTGTGTGATTTAGGCGATGATTTCTTTGACTTCTTAGGCGTATTGGACTTGGAGGAGGGTTTGGTACTCTTCTTTCTAGGACGGTACTTGTAGTCCGGGTACTCCTTCTGGTGCAACTGACGCAACCTCTCGGCTTCTTCGATGAAGGGCTGACGTTCCTCATCGTTGAGCAGTTTCCAGCGTCTGCCCAATTTTTTTGATATTTCCGCATTGTGCATGTCAGGTGACACTTCGCAGATTTTTCTACGTTCTATCTGAGACCATACCATGAACGCGTTCATCGGCCTCTTGATGTGATTAGGATTGTTTTTCTTAGTCTGAAACAAAGAGAAAGACAATGTCAGTCATTTTGCTCACGCAGAGAAAAACTGTCAAATAAAAATTATACATATACCATGTAATCGAAAATGAACGACAGCAACAAAACAGTTCAAAAGGTAAAAAATCGCTAAAGATGTAATGTTCCACCTTCTGGGCTAATTGGTTCTACTTTCACTCAAATCAAAGTTCAAGTATCATCATCCGTGGAGTAAGTACGTGTTTACTAAATTAGGTACGACTATTTATTGACGTATTATATCTGAAGATAGATATATCCTGGCATCGTCTGTGAGAATTTCCCACAGCTGTTTCTACTCTCCGAAAAAAAAAATAGAAACCTACTGTGACATTGTTGGTGTATCATAGATGGCGCTGTAGCCAGCTATACGCTCAGAAAATTGATCACGGATAATTTTTGGACACCAAGTACATGGTGACTGTCTTCAGTCTACTACTACTATTGTTAGTAGATGGTGATGCTATTTTCTGTAATCAGACATTTGGAAATCATGTTTTGTTTAAATTTAACATCTGAAGCATAAAGTGTTGTCTTTTTGATCCAAATCATAAGCGTGCCTTTTACATTCAAATTCGTCATTCTCTAAACCATACCACTTAGGACTTCGAATAAAATAAGAAGAATCTTTTATTATATCAATTGTTCGGAGATAAAGTTAACTTATTGAACTTTCAATCATATCTAGTAGACATAGTATTCATTCTTCAAGTTTCTATAGTCTAACAAGTAATCAGCACCTGATAATTCACAGAATGGAGTCTTTCTTAATTGCCAATGAATATCCTATTCCTTCTAGGAATTTACCTGACGATTTTTTATTAGGTCATCGTAATTAAAAGCATGATACATTGTACTTAGTGGTAAAGGCACCAAAAAAACAGAACTGGTCTCAGGTTATAGGCCAGGAAGTAATTATAACTAGCATTAAAAATTGTCGAGCATTCCAGCTAATATCTTGTCTGGCATCTATCTCGACAATTTTTTTTTGTTAATTAAAGATTGCTGCCAATGCTTTTACTTAATTTTTTCCAAGTTAGTTGGGTCTTTACTGGATATTCTGTTGATTTTCCTGGCACAGAAGCTTCTCAAAATTGTCTCACCAGTCTTACTTATCTAGATTTGCGCATAATGGGAAACTGTGAAGCACACTTAACATTTATCTTATTTCACATTTAGTACCATTTATTCCTATTTCATATTATATTCGGAGGGGCAGACAAAATGTCGGAAGTCCATTTTCACTTTCCACACATTGAAAGGTTAGGACTATTTTACCACACTATTAAATGGACAAGACGTAATTAAAGCACTGGAAGAGTAATTATACTCTTTAGGTAAACTAGTTTGACCGGGTATTGTTGTACGACGACGGCAGCTTAACAATTGACGCGATTGACCTTCGCGGATAATTGCCTACATTATAAATCTGAGGGGGCGATGTGTGAGTTACAGTACATGTGCCCCCCTTTGGAAATACATGATTTGTCGATAAAAAATGATTATATTTGAATAGTAATGTGTTGTGACAAGTTGTGATAGTAACAGGCACCGAAGCGTGCCGAGTTATTTACTACTGTTTAATAATTACAAATCCATCTTTTTAATATACCTATGTCTTGCATTTCAGTTTTTAATAATGAAACCTCCTTTTGCAACAAACGGGCATATTATGGAATGCCGTGTTATTTATAAAGGTACTTTCTGCCTTATAATTGTCGCATCAGTCTATATGAACTGTAGTTTCCTAAACATGGAAGCAGTACAGGCATATCATATATTCATACGGCTTTCTTTCGGTAAAAATGGGTGCAATTTACGTGTTACACTCTGCGTTAGCTCATCCTAAATTTGTCCCTGGAAGGACATTCCTACATCCGATATTCCGCATCTGTCAATGAAAACTATTGTTTCATTTATTTGTCCTTTTCCGAGCTGTTATGGTCAATTTTCGATGAAGAGAAGAGAAAATATTGAGAAAACTGACTGCAAAAGTATTGGAATGAAAGCTGTAAGCTGTGACGTTGTTGACAGACTACAACGATAGCACGAGCTTCTCCTCCAGCATGGAGTCTATATACCCTCCAGATTCTGCGACATTTTTGCGATATATAAACATCAACATATAAACTGGTTTTGTAAAAAATTGTGTAAAACGCCTGCCTTGAGAATCCATTTATGTTGAAAGCCCCGGCTCTACGTATATCTTTATTGGCGGTGCAATCCTATTAGCCACTGTCCCATTTTCCAGATATGTTTACCAGCAGTGGAACAAAAGTAAACTGTCAGGCAGTCTGTGTGTTTTTAGTCGACAGCAACAGGAAAGCCAGCATTGTTGGACGAATGGAAGCGAAAACATTTTAGTTGACTGTCGGGGGTCCCTATTCATAAACATATTGGCCTACATTTTTATCCAATCCTTGAAAAAACACCCCATTCAAGGATTCCACTAAATGCATCCAGCGAATATAGCTCCACTGGCATTCTACTCTTAGTCCAGGCGTCATGCGTACTGTGGTGGCTCTTCCATCAAATTGTTTTGAAACATATCCAAAAGGTTTTTAGTTAAACATTGATACAAGAACATGTTCTACTTGATAAATTTAGTCTTTCCAACCATATGTGTTTGTTAACAGGTCGCAAAATGACATCCAAATACTGAGTAGTCAAAATCAAAAGAAGTACCAGTAATTTACTTTCAACATACTGTTATTGAAATTATAAAAATCAAAACTACACTACTGGCTGTTAATAAAGTATATGTCCAAACTTCGGAGGCTGATTTTATGAGTGATTGTAATAAAAAATGTTCATACAAAACGCGTCAGCAAAACCCAAACCCTCGAAAGAAAGCGTTTAATTGAATTTTTAGTTTTAGTAAAGCGTTTGATTTGAATGATTTTAGTCAAGCTTTCGATTATGTAGCTGCTTAGTCTTCAATATTATATTTCAAAGAGATTTTTGATCTTGAAAAAATAGAATTACCGGACCATATGTTTATATAAACTTTCCTCCATATGACGTACTTGTTTGACAACCTGCATATTTGTTCAAGAAATAAGAAAGCTACTATCAACAAAGTTAGGGTACTATAATTGAACAATTATTTTCCATAAGAGTTTGAAAGCTGTTACGCCCTCATTGTACAAAAAATAGGAACTGTTAAAATGCGTGGCCCTCAGCAAGGTTTTGAAGAATTTAGATTTTGTCTAGGATGAGATCAGTTATTAAATCCTTCTGCAATAACTTCAGATCCACCTGGTATTTCCCACTTTCTTCTTTTGTACAGACATTTTTTATAAAATCCTTTTATAATACCCTTATAGAAAATGCTGTAAGAAATTATCAACGAAATGGTGTTTTCTAACTTGGGTTTTCGAACCGAAGCGCCTTCTGGGGACAATCGAACCCAAAGAGTTTATCTGACTCGAAAAATCTATGTGGTGCCTGAACTATAAGTTTCTGGCACTTTGCTCTCCTTGCAACCGCGTGGGATTTAATAGACTTGTGCTGGTATAGCGACAATGGGAGTTTCCCGACGCCTGATGGTGCAGCAGCCTTGGAGTTTTATGCTCCTTTCTCACTTTATTGGGAATATTACCCCTTAATGCACGGAAAAGCTTCACTCAGCGGTCATTCGCAAGTGAATTTCTAAACTGCAAGGGCGACAGGGCGTGAATACTAATATAACAGGGAGTAAACGGTGAACAGCCATTAACATACTGCAGGTTTGGAACCGGTTTTATTAGACTACTACTTTTGACCAACGAAACACGTCCGTATAAGTCCAGCCAGTATTTATTACAGCCTTAGGCTTATTAAGTTTACACTGAAGAAAACTCAAATCACCAAATGATCTGTGTTGACGTTGAACGTGACTTAGCAAGTAGCATTTAACTACTATAACTAACTAACTAAAGTAAGCATGAAATGTCCAGATTTCGTATTTGTTAAGTATCATATACGGATGGGGTTAAGAAAGTATGAATAAACATCAAGAACCTATTACAAACCTTCAGGTGCTCCTATACTACGCTACTGTGAGATATTAACCGTCAACAGGGTGTTGACAGAGCAGAGCCGTCAAAAAAATAATATTTCGGAACGAGAAGTCAGTCAAAAATGGGTAGTTTGGAAGTTTTCCTTTAGACATGTCATTAATATGAATGAAAATTGCCCATCGCTATCTTACTGGCAACTGGAAAATGAAGAGCAAGGGAGGGGGACATAGGAAGTGCTGGTGGTTGAAAAAACAAACTGAGACAATGACCAATTCGGAAAAAAATAATGAAAATGACTGTTAAGACAGTTGGACCCCTGAGGGTCAGCTTTGGATCTCCTATACCTCGTACTGTAATCATACAACAATTATGGGCCTATAGAAATTTTTGTTCTGCTAACAGATCGGAGGTTATACGTATTTTTCGAAACGTCACGACTGGTAGCATTCAACTAAAAACAATCCCATTTTTTTCCATTATAATGCCTGATATATGAAATGGCCTTTATAAGTCCCTTTTTCAGCCCGTATCCCTCCATATTCCCTGTCGAGACATAGCCAGGGACAAAACCCACCCCCTGGCGCTCACACATCACTGTTACATTTCATAACCCCATTGCGAAGCAAGGACCATTACTGTTTTCCTTCGACATTCGCTTATCACCTTGGCCTACTTTACGAATAGTGTCGATTGTGTACGCATGGACGCATCAACTCTTAATTATTGGATCGCTAATTAGAGAAGCCGCAATAGACCACGAGCAGTGGCGGAGAGCACGATACGATACCACTAATTCAGTTCAAACATCATAGAGAATATCATTTAGAAATGCCTGTTGCTGATTTTTCGTAAATTATTGCAACCCTCATATAGCAAGCATAGTTTGCGGGTTGCCGACTCGCAGGATAGTAAATGGGGGATACTTTTGGCAGGATTTGAGATGGAGTTTAAATGTTTAAAGATCGTATTTGGCTGT